GATAAGCTGTACATGTAATACCCTAAACTTTATGTTTATGAATATGTTTCATGTATGACAAGGAATTATTGAGATTTCTTATTTAAGTTAATAGTCAACGACTTTGTGGTTACTCGATTATTTTGATAATTAGTTTATGATATTCTACGATGTGCAAGAATAAAAAATAATTAATTTTGAGCCTTTAGAGATTTGAGAAATTACGAGTTACTCAATTTTTTTAAATAATCAAGTGAAGATCATGAAACACCATTATGGTACGAGACCAACGTGAAAGCGGTGGTATAAATTGTTTTAATGTAAGAGATGGTGTAGACTAACAAAATAAAATTTTGGATGGAATTTCTAGCGTTGAATTCTTAATCAGAGCATTGAAATTACTTATGGAGGAAATTTCTATAAAAATCTAATTTCGGGGCCAAATTTATAATTTTGGCAAATTTGGAATCTAAGACATAATTCTTTTTAAAAACATGGAGTCCAAAGCATGATTTTAAAAATGTTTGGGGTCAAAAATAAAAGAAACGATGGGTTTCTGAAAATTTCTAATTAATTGTCAAGAATTCACCACCCACAACAACTAATAAGATTTTAGCTTAACAAAAAAAAATTATTGTTAGGTCCGTTTTTATCCTGGTGTCACAAGTGATGTTGTAACACTTTACTGTAACATTTTTTGTGATAGAAAATCTAAAATTAAACCAGCAAAACAGTAAAGCAGGAAACTAATGCAGAAACGTAAAGGACACAAAAAAAATGATATCGCAGTTCGGTGCGCACACCTACTCTGCGGGGCCACGCCTAGACAATGATCAATCCACTAAGTTCAAAAGATGAGAAAGGACCGAACGGTCTTACACACTCAACGACTCCCTCCTTGACGATGTCGCCGTTGCCTAGAATCTCCTTAGAAAGCTTGATCAGCGAGCACCACTCGACTTGACGGTTTCCTCCCGAAACCAAAGAAATCTTCTCCTGAAGAACCAATTCAAAAGTGTTCTCACAATCTGTTGCAACACATCAAGTGACTCTTAACATTACAATCTCATACTCACATGAACACACACAGCTTTTTCTGTATTCAACACATATTCTTCACCTCACGTTCTTCACCGCATCAAAACCCTCATACCACTGTATATACCATCACAGAACCACAACCCTCAATCATCCACGATAAGCACATCCAATCATGGTAATATCTCCTCCATTAACACCACAAATCAGGTCACCAGCGCCAATGACAGTAAGAAGACAATCATTCCCAATATTTCCCACAATTCTTTCCTTAGAAGAGCCAGCCATAATGCTCCAGAAAGTCCACTCTTGATTTTCAGCAATCAAGATATTTGATTTGCAGCCAATAAACATAACAACCAAACTTTCTTTAAGAGGACTATCAATTTACAATGCCAACCAATCTTACAACCAATTTGCCAAAAATAAGCCAACACAAAAAATGCACTAACAATCTCCCCCTTTGGCTATTTTTGGCAAAACTAACGTTACTAACAAAAAGAACCTATTACAAGATAAAAGATAAAAAAAACCAACGAAGTGGGTTAATTGAATTAAGAGTTCTCCCCCTTTTTGACAAAAGACAGCCAAAGTTAAAATATAATACTAATAGAAAAACCTTTTAGAAGCTGTTGCTCCCCCTGAGTCCTCTACGAGTCTTACTCCCTCTGAATGTAACACTTTCTTAAACTTGATATTATCACCTGTCAAATGCTTGGAGTGACAATTACCACAATACTCAAAGTTAGAAGTACATGCTTCAAAAGAATTATAAGCCTCATAACACCTTAAATCACATTTCCTCACCCACACATGTCTAGGAAATTTGTTTTGCACATCAACCTTCATTTTAGGTGTCCTTCTTGTGAATGCGGAATTTGATGGATTCATGAGCATACCTCTCTTCAAAGCATTCAAATACTTATAGCATCTTGGTCTTATATGGCCAGCTAAACCGTAATAATGACATATGGGAACAAATCTTTTACGTCGAGGGGGTGAAATAATAACCTTCTTACTGAGGGTTGTCCGAGGTTCAGGAGCGGGTGTCTCCTTCACAAATACTGTCTTGGACGTTGAACATTCACCGGTGTAGCCAAGCCCATGATGATCACAACTTGCTTTTCCTATAGAGAGAACATGATCCAATTTGGTGGTGCCAGAATTCATCATCTTCAAATTTTTCTGAGTGCTCTGTGTCCTGTAGCTTTTTCTCATTTTCAGTAGCTTGAAATTCATAGTTAACAGCACCCCTCTTAAGCACATCATTCTCTTTAACAAGCTCATCAACTCGCTCCCATAGAGACTTATTCATTTCACACACTTTAACCCATTTGCTGAACATGGTCTTTTACGATTCTTCTATGGCATCAATAGTCAACTCCTCACCATCACTATTACTTTCAGAATCTGAAAAATCTCCTCTGTTTTCACTGTTCACGGAATCTATTACAGGCATTGTTGCAACACTGTCTGCGACACTTTTTGTAACACTGTCTGCAGAAACACTTTGATCAGTATAAACATTGAAAGCAACATAGTTACTCACATGGTCTTCATCCTCCTGACTGCTTTAGAGTCTTCATCACTCCATGTTGCATTAAATGACTTCTTCTTCTTCTTGAGGGTGTTGGCACACTTGGATTGAATGTGGCCGTCACCGTCGCATTCCTGGCATTGAATACCCCTGTTTTTTGTCTTCATCTCTGTGTTAATTGATGTAGCTTTATTCTTCTGAAAGTTTCTGGAATTGCCATTTCTTGAATTCTCATTCTTCCTATTGATCTTTTTCATCACCTTGTTGAATTTCTTCGACAACTTTGTTATGGACTGGGCCAAGTCTTCTTCATCATCATAATCAACTTCGGCTTGAAAGGCAATACTTTTCTCCTTCTTTCCTTCCTTGTTTTCATCCAAATTCATCTCAAAAGTGCGCAAAGAACCCATTAGCTCATCAAGTTTCATTGTTTGGATATCCTTGGCTTCCTCAATAGCTATCACCTTATAAGCAAACCTCCGTGGAAGATACCTCAAGACCTTCCTCACAAGCTTCTCCTCTTATATTTTCTCTCCAAGGGCAAATGCCTCATTAGAAATATCACATAATTTTGAATTGAAATCAGAAATTGTTTCATCTTCAAGCATGCGTAAGTTTTCAAATCTAGTAGTGAGAATTTGAAGCTTTGATAGTCTCACGGCTGCCATGCCCTCATGCGCCGTTTGTAGAATTTCCCAAGCCTCCTTAGCCGTCTCACATGTACAAATGAGCTTGAATTGATTGGCATCCACTCCGTTGAAGATGGCATTAAGAGCTCTTGAATTGCTATTTGCCAATCAATCTTCTTCAGTAGATCATTTCTCTTTGGGTTTCATAGCTTCTTCTCCAGCATCATTTTTGGTAACGGGGTGTGTCCAACCAATCAACACAGCACGCCATGCTTTCTCATCAAGTGCTTTGATGAACGCTTTCATACGAGCTTTCCAATAAGAGTAATTGCAGCCATCGAGGAGAGGAAGGCGTGAAACCGAATCACTTTCTCTCAAAAAATCCATCCCTGCTATAACAAACCAACTCCCAAAATCTCACCAAACAAAGGGTTAGTGAACCGCTCTGATACCAATTGTTGTTAGGTCCGTTTTTATCCTGGTGTCATAAGTTGTGTTGGAACACTTTACTGTAACACTTTTTGTGACAGAAAATCTAAAATTAAACCAGCAAAACAGTAAAACAGGAAACTAATGCAGAAACGTAAAGGACACCAAAAAAATGATATCGCAGTTCGGTGCGTACACCTACTCTACAGGGCCACGCCCAGACAATGATCAATCCACTAAGTTCAAAAGATTACAAAGGGCCAAATGGTCTTACACACTCAACGACTCCCTCCTTGGCGATGTCGCCGTTGCCTAGAATCTCCTTAGAAAGTTTGATCAGCGAGCACCACTCGACTTGACGGTTTTCTCCCGAAACCAAAGAAATCTTCTCCCGAAGAACCAATTCAAAAGTGTTCTCACAATCCGTCGCAACACATCAAGCGACTCTTAACATTATAATCTCATACTCACATGAACACACACAGCTTTTTTTGTATTCAACACATATTCTTCACCTCACGTTCTTCACCGCATCTAAGCCCGCATACCACTGTATATACCATCACAGAATCCCACCCCTCAATCATCCACGATAAGCACATCCAATCATGGTAATATCTCCTCCATTAACACCACAACTCAGGTCACCAGCCCCAATGACAGTAAGAAGACAATCATTCCCAATATTTCTCATAATTCTTTCCTTAGAAGAGCCAGCCATAATGCTCCAGAAAGTCCACTATTGATTTTCAGCAATCAAGATATTTGATTTGCAGCCAATAAACATGACAACCAAACTTTCTTTAAGAGGACTATCAATTTACAATGCCAACCAATTTGCCAAAAATAAGCCAACACAACCCGTTTAGTTCGCTGATTCGAATTTTTAATTTGAGTTGACATGTGATTTTTTGTGAGGGCTTTTTACTGTAGTAAAAAAGTTTGATGTGATTGTTTGTGAGAGCTTTTTACTGTAGAAAAACTCGAATCAGCGAAATGAACGGAGCCAAAAAATGCATTAACAATTATAAATAAGAAAAATAAAGAAAAAGAAGAAAGAGAGTATCAATTAAAAACATACCCTATCATATTTTAGAGTCCAAAATCCTCTTTCATCTCTCTCACTCTCTCTCCTCAACCATTCCCGCAACTCCCGCAACTCCCGCAGCCCCCTACAAGAAAACCATCTTCCACACCTCCAAACTTCAAATTTCTTCATCCTTTCTCTTCCTAATCCATAGAAAAACTAAACCCTTACTTTTTCCCCCACTTTAAACGCATTTGGTACCCCCAAAAACTATTCCAAAGTTGCTGTCAAAATGGAATCCGAGAAGAAGGTTAAAGCTTCTTCAACATAGAGTTGGGTTTTCGAAAGGTAGCTCTCTCAATCACTTTCCAAAGACATTTTCTTCTATGAGCAGCAACTAACATGAATTTTCTTGTGTTTTGTCTTTGATATTATTCCTCAAATACATCCATCCATGATCAGCCATATCCTCACCCTTAAAGCTACAAGTTTGAGCTTCTAGAAACTGAACTTTTGATTAGTTTTCAAGGGTAAGACTCTCAACCTTTAGAGTTTTGTTATTGAGGTTAAATGTGTTATTCATATGACTTTAGATTGAGTTTTGGTTGATTTGAGCTTGATAAACTTGAAATAGGATGTTGATTGAATACATTTTAATTTTTTTGGAATCCTTTCTATACTGTTTGCCATAGATATTATTTTTCCTTTAAAATAAAATACTAAGCTTTAAGTGGGTTCAAGAATCACGAAAAAATGATTTTTCAAGAATTAGTTATGATTTTTATAAGTTATGCAAAAATCTGTCAAATTCCTGACGGAAATTTTTGTCTAGATTTCGGGATGATTTTGATGAGCCTAATGAATCTTAAACCTAGCTTCTTAAAGCTCTAAAGAAATCCCCATGAGTCTACTTTGATTTGGCAATAGTTTCGTAATTTTTGGAATTTTCTACAATTTATTATAAATTTTCTCGTAACAGAGGTCGAATCAGCCCATTTGACAGAGTTTGTGCTAAGAGACTAACTTTTGTAACTTTGATAGATTTAGAACTTGGACTATGTTTTGAGATTTTGTGGCTTGATTTGGCTAAGATGTTTACGTATGAAGATCTTAAAAAAAGTTTATTATTAGGTAGATTTATAATGGGGGATGACTAAAAATGATGCGTGCATTTTGATTTTGAATGTGAATGTTAACTTTGAGTTTTACTATGTTGGTTTGATTTTGATATATGACCAGTGTAAATGTAAGATGTTTTGTGATGGGATTCAAGCTAGTAATTAATAATAAATAGTTCCTAGTTGAATTAGTTACGTGAACCTATCAATTTCATAAACTTTTTGTTATAAGTTGAGCTTAGAGATTGTTTTTAAATAGCCCATTTAAGAAGTTGAACCCAACACCACTTTTTAAAAATTCTAATCTAGATGGGGGAAGTCCAATAGTTTACTTTCACCATTTATCTAAACTCGCTAGAACGAAATTATTTCATAGGCCGTAATCAGTCTGTGGACCCGACGCACACGATTTTAGACAAGTGTGTGTCTCGGAAGAAAAGGCTCAAAATTAACTATGGTGATGTGATAACAGGATCACGCACATAGTAGAATTGAGGATCCTAATCCTTATTTTGTTCAAGGGTAGGTTACTTTAAGAAAGGTAAGTACAAGTACTCACTTACAACACAAATATATATATATATATATATATTAATGTGCATTAATATACTATGACAATTCTTGATGATGTTCTATACTTATTTATGTCTATCAATGTGACACAAGTATGTCATGTTCATTTGATATGAAATGCTTTCTTGTCATGATTTTAATACAAGGTATGAAAAATATTTTCCTTAAGCGTGGTACCGAGACCAAGGTCTCTCCATGTTCATGTTATGTACCAAGATCAAGGTCTCTTCATGTTCATGTTATATTCGGATGCCACAAGTTTACTTGGTTTGGGTCGTTCCTCCAGTCCCCCGTTAGTTGTGCGCAAGGTACGTACGTCGGGCCCGAATTCATGATTTTCAAGACAAGATTTACATGTTTTATAAAACAACTATGTATGAAACTACATATGTTATTTTATGTGAGTTTTTAGCTTATACTTGTTGAGTGTTAGGTCACTATTTTGGTTTTTGTTGTAGATTCAGGTAAACGACCATTAATCTAAGAGTAGTATGTGGATGGACAGATCGCCAAGGTGGCATATATGGTACAAGGGTGATAGGTCGAGCCATTGAATGCTTTTGCACAAATTACTCCTAAAAGTTTATTTTGATATTATGTTTATTATTTTGGGATTGTTATATTTAAGTAGATTTACTAAGCAGCAAAATATACAACAAAACTGGCATAAACCTATCTAATTAAGTATCCGATAACTACCTAAGGAATTAAGTAAGTTCAGAAATTTGTCTAAATTGCCCGATTATGGAATTTACAAGGTTTAATTTTTTTATTTCTATTTTAATGAGTTTTTCTTGAAAATAACATTCTAAATAAGATATTGTCTATGGTAAATGTTTAAGAGAATTTATAAAAAAAATGTCTATTTAAAATGCTTATATAATTTTATGTTTCCTTCAAGTTTTGCAACAAGTGTTTTACAAGCTCAATGAGAACCTCTCTCGTTTGTTAGAACTGATTAAGTTAATGAAAAAGGAGATGAGTCCTTCATCAAAAAAGTTAGGTTCCAAGATAGGAACTATCAAGTAAAGGTTCTAACAATAAGAGATTATTGCAAAGCAAGATATTCCATGTTAAAAAGTATTCTCAATTTTTATTTTGATGTTAAGACTTTTAACTATGTACTTTAACATTAATGTTTTTGAAAAAAAAAAAATATTGCAAAATTTTCTTAATACATTCTTTTAAGTACATATTTTTTTTTAATATTTACACTATGAAAATTAAGTAGTAATGGCTTGTCAGATCGGGTTGTTACAGTACAATCTCACATCGCATGAGTAAGATTATAAGTGATGGTTTATAAACTGTAAGGACATCATCTTACGATGGTATGATACATATTGAAATAAAATATCAAGAGCAAAACCATCAACCTTAGGCTCAAAACAGACACTATAATATATATACTAAGTGTAGGTGTGGGTCGTTAGAAGTATTTTCTTGCATCATTCTTTCTACCTTAGAAAAACGTCCCTTTCAGAATGCGCACACGAATAATTGAACTCAGAACAAGTTTTTTAGTTTTTTTTATTTCTTTTATTTTTTTGTCAACAGTTGCCGCTTTGAAATTGTAGATCTAAAACATAAAATGACAGTTACAACTACGGCGGTCAATTTAGGTTGAGCCCAACATGACGGACCAAAGCCCTTTTTTTAGACTAGGCTTGGTGTGGCCTACACAAAAGCTTAGTTTGACTAGGCCAAGGATCTAAACCCAAAAGTCTATTCGGGTCGAGACGGTAGTCTTTTTATAGGGTGATTTACATAAATGTCGATCATGAGAACCTTACTTTAAAAAATGCCTATTTCATAATTTATTTACAAAATCATCGACTATCACATATATAAAGACATTTTTATCGTCGTATAATAAAAAATGAAACAAATAATTAAACCACAAAAAAGGTATAAAAAGTGAGACAAAATCTAAACATTAAACATTATAAATTTGTAATATGGACTTTTAATGAAGTTGTTTAGTTTGAAGTCAACTCTTTTATTTAAACAAGAAAAGAAAAAAAACAAAGAACAAACTTCCACGGAAAATCATCAAAATACAAAACAATAAGTAATATCATTCACGGAAAATCATCAAAAAAACATTACAATAAAGAAAAAATATGATCAAACCATAATAAAATAAAAATGCTAAAAAAGAAAAAACATAAAAGCTCACAAGAAAATATGAACAGACAGAAAATATTTTCTCTAAAATAATGACAGTAATTACAAATGAAGATAAATGAAATGAAGATAATAACAAAAGAACATTTAAACAACTATTGAAATATGAACAATTGAGGAAAAAAAGAAAGTCGAACTAATGAAGAAAAATGAAATGGGAAAAAATGAATATTTTTATTAAAAAAATAATTACACAGTAATAAATATAGAGAACAAACAAATGGGAAATAACACTCACAGAAACTCACCAAAAAGCATCACACTAAATAGGAAACATGATCATACTATATGGAAAAGAGAAAATCCACATAAAGAAGAAACGTTAAAAGTCAAATAGTAAAAGAAAGTACATAAAGAGTAAGTATTTTCTCAAGAATATTGAATAGACTATAGATATTTTCTCTAAAATAATGAATAGAACATAATGAAATAAAATTACAAACGAAAATGAAAACAGTCATCTGAAAATAAACATTGAATATTAAATTAGATATGAAACATGGAATTGTATTATAGGAAATAAGAGTAGATAATTTCATTATTTAAATGATGAAAGCATTAAGCCAGAAAAATATATAAAATTTCATTATGAAACAGAATTAACGATACAAATGAACCCAAAAATAAATAAATAAAACTCTTTTCATTAGAACAAACGACTATGAAAAAAAAAACCCTAAGAAAACACGTTATTAAAAATAAAAAAAAAACTATACCTGGACATGTCAACATACACGAAAATGGGAAACACCAATCTCTGTAACCTAAAAACGATGAGCAACAAAGAATGCAGGACACAAAATGGGAAATAAGAGGAAAGTAAAAGAATACAAAACAACGACAATATAATCAAAATAATTGGTTGTAAAATGGAAAAGTAAATATCTAAATTATAAGATAAAAAATCAGTCTAAAAAAAACTAAACCAACCAAATAAGGACATGCTTAAAATACTCAATAAGGGCAATTCCGGAAAAACATATGCCTTATAAAATACAAACTGGCATTTTTATAATGTTGTATAATAGTCGATATTTTTATAAATACAACATCATTAGCGGGCATTTTATGTAATTATAAAAATGCCATTATAGTATACATCTTTTAAAAACTTTCGGATGGAACTGGGCCAACCTTCTTCTCAGCCCGTGTATATGTGTGTGTTTATATATGTGAATGAGTTTTTAATGGCTATATTTGTATTAGTTATTGCTCATTAAATATAGAAATTTAATGATGTGTTGTGATAAGAATTTAATCTTATTAATTATCATATATTTTTTTTGTCAATTACGTACCCAATTTATTATGACCATCTAATCGATGGGATAAAATAATACCCTCAAATAAGTAAATATTAGAGGGACCATTAAAATCACACCTATAGATATAAAAGCAAGACAAAATTAGACAGCAACATTTTCTTTCTAGAAATATTTTGTGGAATGTAAAAGCCACTAACTGCCATGCACCGGGTACGCATGATCAACGCTAAAATTCTGTTATGGAATAATTGGCATGCAAGTATCACACACGATTAATATTAATTGCAACTGCGAAATGAAGTTACCCATGAAAAGGAAATTGCGGTAGAATGGGGAAGATCTCACATCATTTTGAAAGTTGAATATTTGGCATTTATATTTTCTTTACTTTTCGATTGATAATCGAGTAAACACATGCCATCGATTAATTTATGTGCCTTTTGACTTCTCATTAATTTACTGTACGCCTTCTTGAAGTCGCAATGTGTAGGAAAAGTCTGAATGCAGAGCAAAATAACAGACAAATTAAAGGGCAAACCAAGAACAGTGCATGTCATCAGCACAATTCACGCATAAACTCGAGCAACTAATATGATTAACGTAAATTTTCTGGATATATATATTATTGACAAAATAATCACCAATTGACGGAAAGGACATAGAGGCCAAATATATTACTTGCTCGCTGTACTTTTTTCTCCCGTATGGTTTACGATAGATATAAACACCAGCTAGTAACTAGGCTACAGCTTCAAACTTCGAAGTAAATTCCCGTAAGCATTTCGGAGTATATATCTAGATTCAGACATGACGAACTTCGTATAGACGCAATATTTGACAGCCGAATTGTTTACTCTGATTGTGCCATGCACGCCAAGGAAAAGAAATTTAGTTCTTTTTCAGACTTCAATCTTGTGGGGTATAGCTCCGAAATTTATGCGCAACAAATTCCATCCTATATACGCTGATATGATCTATATGTATGTGACCAAGAATGCAAGGTTCTCCACAACACCTCATCATCACTTTAAATTCACTTGATTGTCATTAGACATCGGTCCAATTGAGTTACAATCACAATGGCCGGCTCATCAACAAGTGAAATTAGCACCTTGGTAGCTGTTTTGTTCTTGATTTTGGGGACTTGGGCATCTCAAACAATGTCCCGTTCATTGCATGAAGCGCCGTCCCTCATGACCGAGAAGTTTGAACAGTGGATGCTTCAGTACGTACGCACTTATGAGAATGACGCGGAGAAGGAAAAGCGTTTCAAGATATTCACGGACAACGTGAATTATGTGGAAAGGTTCAACAATGAAAGGAACGGCACTTACAAATTGAGCATCAACAAGTTTGCAGACTTGACGCAGGATGAGTTCCTTGAAAATTTCACTGGCTTGAAGATTTCTGCCCGCTCGAACAACCCATCCAGTGGATACAAGACGAGTTTCAGGTATGAAAACGTGACTGATATTTCGACTCCCGTTGACTGGACGAAGAACGGAGCTGTCACCCCAGTAAAACAACAAGGTCAATGTGGTAAGAAACGCACCGCTTATTTGATATTTCCCTAAACTTCCTTTTCCTTTTAGGAGAATCTATGCCTTATGATATCAAATTTAATAATATGACATAAGAGCAAGAGACGTTCAAGGAATTAATTGATTAATGATTACCGCACAGTACTCTAATATTTTAGTCAACTTAAGATCCTATGTATTATTAAGTTTTTTGGAATAATTGATGAAGAAATAACAAGTAACGGTCATTTTCTTGCGCAGGATGTTGCTGGGCATTCTCAGCAGTAGGAGCCGTGGAGGGAATAACAAAAATC